GGCAGTAGAACAGGATGCTTTGGGAGTGGGGGGTGGTTCTTAGAGCTTGGACAGCTGTTGTCAAGGAAGCTGTACTTTCAGCCCCCCCATAGCAGATCCTACTCATGTCCAGCTCTTAAATTCCATGAAAATTATACCTCTTCAGCTGTAAAGCCTGCCATAACCTTTTAATGCTCTGCACCTTTTAAAATTGATTTTAAAAGTAAAGGGCTTATCTTAATCTAGAGATCCACTTCATAATAATACACCCCAAAGGTGCATCACTTCTAACACAAATAAGATGCTTACCCACCTTAAAATCCATCCTGGACAGATCCTTTTTTATACCAGTGAAAGTTTCCAGGCCTTCTTTTCAAGTGTAGCCTCATGAAGAACACATTGCAGTAGTCTAAACTGAGTAAGCAGAGGAGAGAAACCACCCAGAAATTAAGGGGGGGAAATATGGTTTATTCTATTGCCTCCCAGACAAACCAGAAAGAAAACAATATGCCATGTGTTAAGCAAAACATAGGTGAGCATTCTGCATGAACCAGGCCACTCTGTCTATTCTTGCCAACTCTTTTTCAAGTTTTCCTTCTGCTTTTTCCTTTCATTTACATGGCTTTTTATCATTGCCTTCCTGTTGCTTCTCATTCTGTTCACATACTTTCCACTCTTGTAGCATCATCCAAATCCTTACTTTTGCCACTAGTCTTGCCTGATCAATCTTTCATTTTGCTCGTATTTGGAACTGTTGCTTTGCACTCTTTTCTTTCTGTCCCTTCCTGTCACATTTGCCCATCTCTTACAGTCTCTGTACATGCAATTTCTCACATATACTATATTTCTTTGCACAGTGTTCTGCTTGCTAACTTGTCATTGATTCTCTTCTTTCTTCTCTTTTTTCCTTTCTTCTCTCACTTTGTTTCTTTGCACAGTTTGCTTACTTGCCAATGCCTCTCTCCTCTTCTCTCTGTACAAGTTTCCACCCTTTGCTTTTTTGAATTTCCCCTAAGATACAATACCACTTGACTGCATATTTGGTAGAACTGGAAAAATCTACACAACTAGGAATGCCTAGATATTTCTGAGAGGAAGTTATACTAGTTTGTGTAAATGCAACAGCAGAAACTTGTAGTACATTATGAATAAAGATATTTTCAGTCTTGCTTAGTAGATACAAGAGTAAAGCTGGCATCTAGGTTGATTCCAGAGCAGGAATCCTCAAAATTGTCCTCAAAATAACATGTCTATTAGTGGACTGTTGTTGCTGGCAATTACCCAAGTTCAATTTGGAGGCTGTATGTAATTAAGATCAGATCAACCAACCATGTATGCCTCTGCATCTGATGAACTGGTCTCTAGATGAAAGCAACTGCTGTTGTCACAATAAATCCAGCCTTTAAGGTGCTATAAGAGTTGTTTTACCTTCTTAAGGATACTTCTGTGGTGTTCTTATATTTGGGCATAATAGAGTAGTCTATTTCAGGTCTGTGTTACTTTTGCATGTGTTCATTCCTAAATCTATTCAGTTCTGATTGCACATTAATCTGCATTTTTTTAAAAGGCAGATGGAAATCCACATTGAAACATGCATTTCTAAATCTATTCTGATATGGACTTCTGTGACAAAATTCTGTTCTGAGTTTTAGAAAAGTGCAAGATCCTATATATAGCTTTGTTCCAATTTGTGTAGTCCAGGAACTATGGATCAGTGTAACTCATGTCAAAATTCACAAAGACTGAACTTCTCAAGGATTTCTATCCAATGATCACCCCACTTTTCTTCCACTCTCCTTTTGCTTTGCTGCTCGTTCTGTCTTTTGCACACTTATTCAGTTATTTTCTCCTCTGTGCATGCTTACTTGCTTACTCCCACTTCACTCACACAGGATCACCATTTTTCTTTCTTGCCCACTCTTCTTTCTTCCCCATTCTTTTCATTTGTCTCTTTGCAGAGTTCACATTGTTCCATCTTCTTAAATATTTCTGTGGCATGATTCATGTATGCAACCCTTAACGTTAGACTTGACACCTAATGGTTTTATGTCCTCTAACATTAATGTCAATGTGTATTGCATCAGGCTGTCATAGGTCGGCCCTGCTGTATTCAGGAGTCCTCCTGATCATTTTCCTGGCAATTTGGACAACTGTCCCCAAGCCTGGCCCTGGCAGCAATGCCCAGTTATCTATTGGCCTCTGGAAGCCCACTTGCAATGATTGTGGGCTTTCCTTCACCCGTCCCTACCAGTGTCATCATACATCCCTCACCCTCTCTCTATTTCTTGCCCCCTAAAAGACAACAAGTCCTGGGGATGGGGGAGGAGAGAAAGAGGCAGCAGCAAAGGTGCCAGGGGTGTAACCTACATTTGGCTGGGTATGCAACCCCATTGTTAGTTCAAACTCACCAGCTAAAAACCAAAGCAGTGTCTGTATTCTGCTGTTTCCCTTCTTTTGCCTGCATCTCCGTGTATCTTGCTTGCCCTGTGCCATTTCTTTTTGTATACTTGCTCACTTTCTTTTATTCTGCTTTCATCCAGCTGTCATCTCAGTAGTTTCCATTTCTCTCTCGCAGTCTCTCATTCTCCCAGATCATCCTAAATGTGGGTGTTGCTTAATGCTGTTTGTGGTGGGTGTGATGTGTGCTTGAATTGCTCATCACAAGCCAGGACTTACTGAACACAGCTAACAAACACAGTAATGTGAGTGGGTTTTGACCTGCTCTCTCTTACACCTTTCTTTGGCTTCTCTGTACTCTATTTTCTCTTATTGTTCTTTCTACTCTTCAATTCCATCCTTTCTTTTCCATCCTTCTTTAATTCGACCAATATGCAGCATGCAGTTTACTCTGTGATGAGCATCAGATGACAGATACTGCATGTAATAAGGCAAGAGATCCACTCTGTTATCACTGTTCCCCACAACCAAGCTTTACTAAAAGTAGAAAAGGTTTTCAAGTGACTATTAAAGCAATTGCTCTAGAGATTCTTTTCTACTGTGATTACACTTGTGTTCCTCCCACCCACCCAAGAGCTCTACAAGGCAGGCTAAGGTGAGAGTTGTGTTTTCAGGCTGAGATTTTGAAAATGAACACAACACAGTTTGGGCATGTGTACCATCACAAATCCTCAGAACCCCTTCTTGGAGTTCAGCTGTATACAACACCATTTGGCTGGCTCTTGGGTCAATTCCAAGGCCTCTTCTCCCCCCCCACTTCTAGGAGCAATTCATCAATGGTTCCAAAAAGTGTTGCATTTTAAAAAATTAAAGTGCCTCCCCCTCATCATCATCACATTTCTTTACCACCCAATAGCCAGAACTCTCTGGACTGTTTGCAGCAATCCATTAAAATACAATTGAAAATAAAGATTTGAAGATATATACATGCAAGCAAAATCCATGTGTATGGGGCGTCAGCCATTTATTTGAAGTCAGCTATGTGTGTCCTTGGAGAACTGAAGACAGTGGGAAGCAGCACTTGCCTCACAGTAGAAAACTTCTCCATTCATTGGGTTGTCAGTGTGAAGTCACAATCATATGCCTAAAGTCATTTCCTGAGCTTCATGACTGAGCCATAGTTCAAAAAGAGAAAAACAAACTGTGATCCTCACTTGGAGGCACTGCCTCTTTTGCCAGATGATGGATGAGACAGCATGGATGAGTACATCTTGCATGTGAGATTTTTCCCTGTCAAAAGAAATTCAAAAGTACATATAATTAAAAACTCCAGAACAGCATTACAACACTTCTTTAATATACCCATTGGCTTGAATTTTTCAAAGTGCTATTTCCTCTTGGGTGACCAGCTTTTTAGCAAGGTTTTGAACACAGCTTTCTCAGGTCCAAACCCAGTGTTCTAGCCACTACATCACAATGGCACATAGCTAAACCATATATTTGTATTTTCCATGTCTGTATGAGAACATGCATCCCTCTTTCCACATCATTTTCTGTCTTTATTTCCCCACATGAAATGTTGTAGTACCAATTCACCCTTCATGGTCCAGACAGAAAGACATCTGAGGACTGGATATACCAAGAAAAGGATATATTAAGACTCTAGAGATAACAAGATGGAAAGGGAAAATTAACTACAGTAGCCCAGGTATATTTTTATCCAAATCAGGTCATGGAATGTTATTCACAGTTCTGTTTTTTATTTGCATTTGACTTGACATTATTATCAGATAATGTGTGATAATACTGTATTTCCTAATAAATTAATTTTGCTCATGTTCAAGATGTTTGTTTTCTTCCAAATATTCTTATTTTTATGTGCGTCCTAGTCTTCTGAGCACAGAGGTTTCAGAGATTCAAGTGCTCTGTAGAGTTTGGAAGTCTGGAAGCACCTATTTGTCTGACTCTTTTCCCCAGCACTCATAGCTTTTTAAAGTTACACAACTTGAGGAGTTCATCCCTGAAGAAGGTACAAGATGAAATGCATGATCCTTTCTCACTGGTATAATGATACATTTTGAAGAACAGATGCTGATAAAGAGCTCACAGCCACTTTCCCAAGGATAATCCAGTTATCCAAACAGCTCATTTGATCCATACACACACACCCCTGTGTGTTGTTGGAAAAATCCATCTACAGCTATACAGATTATTGCATCAGAACTCAGAAGGAATAGGAAATCTGATCATTGCATCAGAACTCAAATCTTTGTGCTTTGTCCCTGTGAGCTCTGGCTCCACTATGTTATTGCTCCTTCTAGAAGGAAGCTCCCCAACAAAGGCATTGACCTGGGCAAATCTTAATGAATCCAAACTAAGCCATAGGATACTTCAGGCAACCCACACTGATGGAAAAGCCATTCACAGTTAATAGAAAATGAACAATATATATCCTGTTCTATCATATTAAAAGACCCATTCAAATATCCATTAGCAATTGAATACACAATAAAAAGCAAACATGCATACAATGTATGAATGATCATTCCTGACAAAGTATCACTAGTGACTTATATAACAAACAATAACCTCTTCAAAAATACAATTTTCTATTATCCATCTTTTTAATTTACATTTCGCATTAATCTCTGTCTGACATTCTGATCGGGTTTCAGCACAATAACGTAACATTTAGGGGCAAAGATGAAACCTAGTATGCTAGCACTGGAGGCCAACATGGAGAAGATCTCCACAGCCACCATGGATTTCCCCTTGGTGCTCAGGTAGACAGGAACAAAGGACACCCAAACACTGCAAAACACTAACATGCTGAAGGTGATAAACTTGGCCTCATTAAAGCTGTTGGGCAGTTTCCTGGCTAAAAATGCCACAATGAAGCTGACAATGGCCAGGAAGCCCATGTAGCCCAGGACACAGTAAAGCATGGCGATTGACCCTTCGTTACATTCTAGTATGATTTCTCCCACCATGGAATGCATGTCAGAATCAGGGAATGGGGGAGAGGTTCCAAGCCATATGGTACACAAGCCTACTTGCATAATGGAGCAGTAACAGACAATGGAGCTAGCCAGTCTTTTCCCCACCCATTTTCTCATTCTGGAGCCTGGTTTGGTGGCCACAAAGGCCAGAACCACAATGGCAGTTTTGGCCAGCACACAAGAAATGGTCACTGTGAAAATGATGGCAAAAGCAATTTGTCGAAGAAGACAAATCATTTTCTCTGGTGGGCTGAGGAAGAAAAAAGAAGAGAGAAAGCAGAGCAGGAGGGAGATGAGTAGAGTGTAGGTTAGATTCTGATTGTTGGCTTTCACAACTGGTGTCTTTTGATGCTTAACAAAGATGGTGAGGACCAAGGCAGTCAGCAGAGAAAAACAAAGAGCAAAAAAAGTCAAGCTCATCCCCAAAGGCTCTTTAAAAGATAGGAAACTTCGTCTCTTTGGAATGCATTGTGATTGGTCCTTATTTGGATATTGGTCTTCTGAGCACCCGACACAGTAATCCATGTCTGAAATAAAAAAGTAGATGCAGCTTCTTGGGTTAAATTTAGCAGAGGTGTTTTCAGAAAGATAGTACATAATATGATATAATGAGAATCCCATCTTGGCATTGCATGTTAGATCATCATCATGAATCTTTCCATCCCCACTGATGCAGAGCAGAGGCACTCCTTCCATTATCACATCTAATTCTATTCAATTTCATCCAGACAGAGCGAGGCAGGTCATAGCCAGGGAGTTTGGAAGAGGAATATCTAACGTCCAAGCCTCAATAAGGCAACTTGGATCATTCGTCTCTCTAGACATTCTTAGGACTGAACTGGGTAGATGTAAGATAAACAAAAACCATAGAACAAACTACTGTTTCTGTTTATAATTTCTAAAAACCAAAGGTACCTTGCTGAAGTGCCATAACGGGGTTTGGAAGACAGACCCCCAGTTGTAAACCACTCTACTGTTTCTGCTGGGTTCAGACATGATAATAACCCACACCCAGTAAGGATAATTATGCTAATCAGGTGACTTGCAGGCAGCTTCTGTGATTACACAGATTCCAATCTAATAGTTATGATATCAAAGAAGAAAGGTTCTTGGCTGCAGATTTGGTGATATAGTCAATAATTCTTAAATTTAGACTTAAAACATTGTTAAAACAAATTAATTTTAGTACCACACATTTCAGAAAATGTTTAAACATGGGTATATGCAATAAATCTGAGGACAAGTGAATACACATTTTAGTCCTATATCCATAATTAATGTTCCAGAATGGTCAAACCTTTCCCTCCCCTTTCTTTATTCATTTAAGTTTCTCAGAGGGCATATGTTGGAAAGTTGCATCATGTGTCTCTTACCCTTCTGGGATGCAATTTTGCCTTGTGGGCATGGAGCACAATCATAGCAGCAGAATTTCTCCCCTTCCCTCTTTTTTCTGCTGGAACCAGGAAGGCATTTTTTGTTACATTCAGAAATGGGTGGAACCTGCCCATTGGAATTCACACAAACATAGTTTAGAGTGCAGAAAATCTTGGACTATTCAGTCATGTATATTCTGATCTGATTGTGGTAATCCTGATGTTGGAGGATAAAGATCACAAAATCAGTACCATCAGCACAAAAGATTATATTTTGAAGACTGGAAAAGATGACCAGTGCCCAGGCTTTTTACAGCTCTGATTCAGGGCCCAGAACCACAGGATGCTAATCTGCATGAAACATGCATATGGCAATTTATAGTCATATACAAATTTAGAAAAAGTTAGTAGGATTCATTGAATTTAGCCGAACACAAAGCCATCCAATTAATTATCTTCCAGATAATCTCAAATGAAAGACATTCTTCGATTTATTTGCATCCTGAGCCAGCTAATCCCAAAGCAGTGGGTCAATGGGCACTCATGCTAATGGGGAATAGATCTGGGGCCAGGATCCTATGCACCCATGCATAGCAAGCCCTGTTAAGCACTGAAATTTGCCAGAATTTCAACTCCAGTTACAAAATATTATAGTTCCTGACTACACAGGTGTCCCCTTTTGTCATCTACCTGACATCCACCCCTACCCCCAGGTAGTACCCTCTCTTCCTTCTCTACTCCAGAGGCATGGACTGAACATCCACTCCCCTGGCCTAGAAAAGCACATATTGCTTTTATTAACATTTAAAGAAAAAACTGCTGATTCCATTCTGCCAAGTAATCTCAAACTCCTACTAAAACACTAAACAAAGCAGAGATTCTCTGTCCTGCTCTTACTTCAGAGATGCATTACTCTTTTTTTCTTGGGGGGTTGGTGGGAAATGTCCTAGGACTACGATTTAGAATACAATCCCATTATATTTTCCTATGGCTCCTGGGCTGCTTTGAGTAGGACCTACCTGGCCAAAGCTTCTGTGCCACACCATTCTGTCCTCATCAATGAAAAATTCCTTGCCTGGGGGAGTCTTCAGATCTACCATTCCAATTTTGATTCTCATGAAGGAATTGTTTGGAAAAACCACCAAACTAATAATATCAAAACCTGCTTCTAATTCCATATTCCCACCAAAATATACAGTCTCCCCTGCACTGTTGTTAAAGGAGATGCTCTTAAGAAAGGAGTAGAGCTGCAATGAAACAGAAACAGAAAAAGAGAATAGGGTTGGCCCGGACTTGCAAAGCAAGCTGAGCAAAGAAAAAGTTCACAAACCCACAGCTGTGCAAGTGACAATCACCCCGATAAGGTACAACCATCCAAAGAGTGGCTGCAGGAAGTGGAAAAGAGGCAGTGCAAGTGAATGCGCCAGGCTCCATTCATGGCAACCAACTTTCTTCCCCACCTGCTGCTGCTGATGATGGCAGAGGCACCACACACAGAACAAGGAAGCTGCTTGAGCAGCCCATGGGACTTGATTCCTGGTAAGTGCTAGGAATGCTCACCAACCTGGACTCAGGGCCACTGCAAAGCAGACTGGAAGCTGAGTCCATGGAATCTGATGGATTCCCCCAAATGAATTTCTTCCACAACCCTTACAGAGAGACAACTATTTCAGACTCCAATGCTTGTTATTACTGGGACTGAGATATTTCATAGCACAAAGCCAGGCTTCAAATAAAGCTATTTTCAGGCTCAAAAATGATCCAAAAAATCCTGATGGCAATCAGTCTTTCTAAATGCTGAGCAGCAGAGATGGAGAAAGGGAAGCTAAGGTGGTGGTGGTGAAAGTAGTGAAAGGAGGAAAGACCCCTAAGGTTTTCTACAACCTTATATATCCAAGTGCTTCTTATAAATATGTTGGATAAGTGCTTGTAAAGTGTTACAAAATGTCAGAAATGGGGAACTATCTTCCATATGCTGGAATATGTGAAAGAAAAGAAGCCTAACTGCTACACACACACAACCCACATTTGGTTCCTTTTCTCCTCTTTTCTAGCCTGCAGGTAACCTCTCTGACCCTCCCTACAGTTTAGAATTCTCAGGTTTGGAACCAGACAACATTTGGGCCCTTTACTAAAGTAATATCTTTTTCATTTTTTCCAGCACCCAGAGAGCTTTGCTGAACAGATTTCAACCATGGTTGAAAAACTTCACTGTGTTTCTGGTCAGAGTTCAAAGCATAGTTTCTCAAAGTCCCATACCAGTTTGCTTTGGATCATGTCCTCTTGAATAGTCCCAACAAACAACGGGATGCAAGGTGCTACAAAGCGAGCTTCATAGACTCACTTTTAGTTTTTATATGGTATTTAAATATAAATGACTATACAGTTACACAGGACTGAGATTCATCAGCAATTGTCCCTTTAATTTCAACATAATTCCTTTCTATTAGCAATAACAGCTGGCTGAGAGCCAACAGAATTGGAACCAAAATAGGGTCAATGAGAAAAAAGAGAGATAGCAGCATGCTTGGGTAAACTTCGATGTATTCATAAATGCACATACTAAAGCAAAGCTACTTAAAAAGAGGCAAAATGACCCCACATCAAGCCCACCAAGGAGTGAGCATGATCTGTGGCCTCCAGGAATCTGGAATATTGATGGTCAATTTGAAACGAAAACTAGAAATCCAGGTGGGATGGAGAGAGTACTAGCCATTTTCCTCCTAAGATGCTTACAACTCATAGTATACTGGAGGAGGACAAGTTTACTAGAACCCTGAACAGGGATATGCCTGCTTAGGATGTGAGGATATACAGCACCATCTTATTGCAGGTCTCACTTGCACAACTGTCAAGGTCTTTTGGAGCCATCAAAGTTATGAGGAATCCATAAATGCAACAGCCCAAGACATTCAATAAAATACAGTACATCTGCCTATCAGTCAGTGACCTGGTTTAGATGATCAAACATGACTTTTGTATTGTTTTCTTGCACCTATCATAACCAAATGACCACTAGAGACTTTTTGAGTTTCATTAGAAGATTCCCCTTTCTGGCTTCTGTTCAGTGCAGCAGCATTTATGATCAATAGCCTTTTTGCTGCTCCATAGTTAGTTCCTGTTCCCTCTGTGTGTGGGTTTGAAGAACAGTAATTATTGGCTCACATTGTCTTAAGTTTTTTATTGTACAAAGAAAGGAAGAGAGAAAATCAGTAATAAATCTCCATCCATTCCTGTAGAGAATCAGAAACTTTGGCTACAATTATGATTTTTGTAAACCACTCTTACAGTTTCTTTTCAATAAATTCAACAAATGTGTCCCTCTGGAACAGGAAACAAGTGCAAAGCAAAAGCTACAAGGAAGAAGCTGTTAAGGGGCAATGTCCTAAGAAAGTTTGGCCTTCCTAACTGAACAAGTCTTTCAGTGCAATTCCAGATTAACTGGTTTATGAGGAAAGAATAAGGATGTTGATATGTGAATCTTGCCTAATTTTATCGAAGTAGCTATGCAGAACAGGTACTGGCCACCAACTGGTAGCATTTATTGCATGGAAGAGAGGAGAAGGGAAAGGAGTTCAGAAGAAGAGTGAAGGAATTGTTAACTAGCAATCTTATAGCATACGGCTGTGCTTGCTGCCCTTTGGTATCTCAAGAAAGGCATCACCTGCCAAGGCTCCAAATCCTGAAGTTTCATTTGCCCACCTTCTGTTCTTCCTCTGGGTTTAGATTTGAATAGGTACATGCTATGTAAAGCATGTGCCACAGCATAGACACCATTGTAGACACTGTAGCTGTGGCCAGTCATGCTCATCTCAAAAGCAGATGAAGGGAGATGGTCTAGCTTCTCCTTTCCAGTGCAGGCTTCACTGGTTTGCATCTCTGCACTGGATTTTGGAAAAAAACAGAAAAATGTCTCTGCCCAGAATTGCTCAAGGAAACCATCTTCATTCACCTGAAAAGGATTTCTGAGCTGAAGAAAGACTTTGAATCCTTGCACCTCTTTTGAATGAGCTGCAAAGGAGATGGAACCATGGAAGACTTGCATATCCCAACTCACTGGTAGGGTCAATGCTGCAAAATCCAGCTGAACAGTCATAATCCATACCTTGCCTACAGATGTAGTGGGCATATTTTCCAGCTCACCTACTGCGAGCAATGCTCGCAAAGCAATCATGTCCTTGTTTTTTCCATAGACGACAACAACATTTGCTTGGCTCTTCACAAGAACTTGATACAGCTGCAACCACCGGGATTGCTCTTCATAATAGTCTTGAAAGTAATTGGTTTTGAAGGGTCTCTCTGAGAAGGCAAAGCAAATACCCTTTTGGGAAAGCAGAGGCTGCAGGGTCTGTATAAATCTCTCACCACTCTCTTCATTTGCAACAAGGACTCCAACCCATGTCCATCCAAAATGAAGAAGTATCTCAAGAATACCAATGTACTGGTACACTTCATTTGAGACTGTCCGGTAGAAGGGGATGGACTGCATCTGATCACTCTCTTCTGGAGCAAAGGATCCATAACTGACCTAAAAGGAAAGGAAGAGGCCATAACAAACAGGCCAACCTTCTCAACTGGGTCTAATTACCTACTGCTAGTAAAGGGAAAGGAAGTCCTTCCAAGCTTACTGACTCAGTTGGAAATAAGTCGACCTCTACCAGCTCAGGAAAATGGGTACAGGGAATTATTGCAAAATTAAAATCCAGACACTACACGATGGGCATTTCTTTTTCTGCTTTCCTGCTACATAACCTCTAGGATGCACTATGGCAAAGCAGTATAGTACAAATGCAATAAATAAATAAATCCCATCCTTTCCGATGAACGGCTCAGGATGGCTTACAGTGATATTATGATTAAGTACTGCATTTTTATACTGCATTCTCTGCTCTAAAAAAACTCCTTGCCAAACATATTCTTCAGAAATAGAAGCAAAACTGCAGGGTCAAAACATCTTCCAAAGAACTTGCAACAAATCAAGAGTAGGGAATGATCAGCACATGATAAATGCCTCATGTAACAAAACCAGCTTCCCCAACTGATTTCAGCCCTTGGGCAGAAACAATGTCCACAACTCTGGCTTGTTCTAATTGCAGATTTGCTGCTCTAAATAGTGACCAAATTTCCATTTCTGCTTCTTCCTCTACTGAAATACCTCAATGCTCACAGGTCAGTTTATTCACAGATCAATCTCTCTCTCTCTCACACACACACACACACAAACACACACACTCAGGGAGAAAGCAAGAGTGAGCACACTTAGGCTGCTACAGTTGTGGTGAGATTCAAGACCAACCTGCTTTGTTATATCATTCTTTCATGCGTTCCTGGAATACATGTAAGCATCTGAACCTTCCTATTTCATTAGGGAGAACAAGATCAACAACAGCAACACAACCTAATATCAGAATTTAGACAAACAGACCATTAAATCCAAAATGAAAGAGACCAGTAATGAAACAACAGATTAAAATAACCTGTTTAAAAAAAAAACCTGCAGAACTTCTGTTTCCAGGTAGCAGCATACAGCTGGTGTTACAGACAGCAAAGCAGGGACCAGATGAGCCTCTCAGCTAGTCAACATCAGCACCCAATAGCCTGTCTGAAGTGTTGGTATTCGTATAATATATATCACTTGATGTTGAAAAGCTGAAGCAATCTGGTTCATTCACAAAAATTAAAATCCTTAAAGAGTAAAATGCATCAACATATAAAAACAGTTTAGGTACCTATAAATTGATTAGACACATCTATGCACACACATATTCACATAATCCCCATTACCTGATTAAAAACTTATCAAAAGCTGCCAAGTGCCTGGCAACAATGGAAACAACCTGGAGCCAAAAGATAACAACATTGGTGCCAGATTGATCTTGCTTGGGTGTTTATTCCATAACAGGGCAAACGTGCCCCCTACCCACAACTGAATTAAATACTAAAAGCTTGCACTCCTTTTTCTAATGTCAAATCTGTCTTTCCATGCTAGCTGCACTTGTTTCTGTGAAGCAGAATGCCTTTCTGAATAAAAAGTAGGAAGGGCACATGAGAGAAGAAGGCCTCAAGTAAGGTACCTCTTACCTGAGGGATTTTGTAGATGCCCAAGATGGCTGCCATGTGGAAGGATGTTTCAAAGTCAAGTCCACCAACAACTGCTACCAATCTTTTTTGGGTGCCACAACTGTAATTGGGTACAAAACCCGAATGTGCAGAAAGAAGCTGCAGAGTAGCCTGATAGGTCAACTTTTCATTGATGTAACTGTCATAGATGTGGAATCCCAAGGTGACATTTGGCAAGATCATTGAATCCTCATTAATCTCCTTGACAGCAAACACCAAGGCCAGAAGATGCTGGTAGTTCCTTGGCACGATCCTACAGTGAGTAGTTACATGCTGTCTCAAAGGTAAGGATGCTATCTTTTAGTTCCCCTTCCTCTGCTAATCTAGCACTGCTCTTGAACACCTGCTGAAGAGAATGACACTTTTTACACCAGCAAAGGCAATGTTAGGGGGTGGCCCACTAAGGTTAGAGCTCAGAAACTTTAATCTGGAACCTCGGGTCTCCAGGATGCCACCTGCCACACCATCTTGCTGTCTATAGGCACATGCTGGAAAAAGTATAGAGCTCTGATGCTCACTGTTGCAACTGGTTCCCCTGCATTAGCTGGCTTTTTGTCCACATGGGTGTACCATCCTGCTGCTACTCCTCACAAATCTTTCTGCCTGAGATCTTTTTCTGAAGTCAAATTCCCTCTTCTGCCCTGTCAATGCATCCTTTTTTGCAAGTAGGGGTATACTTAGGGGACAGAGACATTTAAAGGCACACACAGGGTATGTTCAAGCATATATATAAAATAGTCTATACAAATGTATGCATGTGTTTTGTTCCCTGGACTGAGGCCCAGGTATTTTTGGTACTAAGCACCACCCGTATCCCACCACAATAATGGATATCTCTACAACTGAGTTTTTTGTCAGTTCTATTAGGCACAATAGGTATGGAAAGAAACGAGAGGACTAGCTTCAGGAAGTAAGCTAAAGGATGTTGTGTGAGTGTGAGAAAGCCTGACTTTGATGAGAACATGTGGGGCCCTTAAACCCCCTCTGCAAAAGCGCAGCAGGCTTTTACACCACCATCATGGCTATTTTAGTATCTGGAGTAGAGAAATGTTCCACACTCAATAAACAAAGCACTCCTTTATCTTACTCAAACTGATATTGGGACAGAGCGGTAGTAATGATGCCTAAGGGGGAGGAGGGAGGAGGAAGAAAGGAAATGACTCTTTTTCCATGTTCTTCTCTGTTCAGTTTTCTCTTCACAGTTCAAGCACCAGTTTGAAGCCTGCCTGTTTATTCTTTTTGGTGCTGCCTCTTACCAGTTGCAGGAAGCTGGTTTCTCTCTCCTCACCGCACCAGCCATATGCAAATGTGGATGAGATTTCACAACCTCTGATCTCCTTGGGTTTAACTCTAATTTGAAGCTACAGTACAAGAGCCCCCCTATAAGAAACCAAGAATTCTAGGGAGGTGTTAATGAACAACTGCCTGGAAGACATTTGGAAGTGGGGGGCAGGAGAGAGAGGACTGACCACAACATAACAGCATAGGATGATTGTGTGTCTTGCTTTCTAGAAGAACTATCAGAGAAGTAAAGCCAACTGAAATATACTAGACTTCCTTAGAGAAAACATGCTTCGAAATGGAATACAAGTTGATATCTTCTGATTATTTGAAGAATGAAGTCCTTACAAGAGATTAAACAATTGATGGATGGTGAGATATTCACTGAAATGCTGCTTGTCAAAAATAGCAATGAGGTGAGAAAGTAGTCCACCAAGGATGAGGTTGCCAGACTGGAAATACTCTTGTGGAGCATGAAGGGGATAATTGATTGTGCAAGTTCTGGTATGTGCCTTGCACAATGTCCATGGCAGAAAGGAAAGGATGAACACCGTATGGACCAGCATGCTGGAGTCAAATGTTTCCATTAGGCAGACTCCTGTTATTAACTAGAACAACCTTCAGAAGCTGCCTCACTAGGAAGCCCACTCCAGAGTTTTAAAATCCTGGCTTAAAATTCTTTCAGAGAAAAGCTGAAATCAGACTAGTGGGAATTCTGTACTTAACTATTCCTGGACTCTTTTCTGCCCTGGCAAACTGGCTTTACATAGCTACAGACCTAGAATTTTGCTGGTATTTTCTAGCAATCTTGGGGGCTTTATTAAGAGTAGGTTGTCACTTCCATTAGCTTGATAATTAGAGGGTGTGTGTGTGGGGAGGGGGGGTGAGATAATAACAGCTCTTGGTTACATCAGACAAAGGAATGAAAACATGTTTGTCATGTTTTACTGGAAAGTTTCTCTGTTACTTTGAGAGACAAAAGGTTTGCATGTAGAGATAGGCAATGGGATGGAGGTACAAAGGAAGTGGGGCTGTCTGCTTTTTTAAAAAAGCAGCAAGGCTCCAGGCGACCAGCCACCACCTTGCACCCTCCAGATCTGTCCAATAAAGCCTCTCATCATATTAAGCTAACACATCCCTATTGGCTGGGGATGAAGTGAGGTATAGTACAACACTACATTTGGATGGGGAAAGTTGGATGAGACTCTTCTAAACATTCCTACCTGAATCTCCCTCTTCAGATTAGGCTGCAATCTTTAGATAGAAATACAATCCTATAAATCCAAGCATGTCCCATCCTGTCTGACAATCCATTGGATTGTGCCCTTAATAAACCGTGTATTTACCCAGATTATTTGTGCATATACTATTGCCTACTTTGACTGATAGCAGTTCTCCAAGGACTCAAGCAGAGGTAGTCTTTCATATGGTTAGATGTCAAGTTTTTGTGACAAATGCAGCTTTAAACATGCATAAAACATGTGGGTTCCCTTGAACATTTGGTGGAAAATTTGGCTATGATTGGAGGGAGGGAGAAAACCAACCAATGTCTCTGTCAGAACCAGCATCCAAGTTGGGTTGGTACCAGGATCGAAGGAGAGAATTGCCTGAGGGGAGGAGAGCCAGAGGCCTACCCCCTTTAAGACATTCCTCAGAGAAGTGGCACAGCTTGGGAAGGAACACTATACTTTTTGTGTTGCACCATGGTTAGCACCCTTAAAATTCAGACTGTAAGCCAGAGTGGATACACTGCCCCATTGACACTGGAACCACCAGCCTCTGTCTCAGGTGAAAAACCATGGAGAACAGGTAGCAGTGGTAAGATTCTGGAATGGTGTGTGTCATGTGGCTTGTTGTGTGCCCCTTTGTTGTGTGTCTGTCTATTTAGTCTGATGACCTGAGTTGCAGTGAAGGACACTGCCCCATCACTGTTACTGAAAAATAAGTGCCAGGCTGATTGGTTGTTATATATGGGATGAAGGCAGGTGCACTTTGGCCTTTGCCTCAGATGACAAGATGACTGAAATTATCGCTGGACTGAGGAAACTGGAAAGCAGTGTTGAAAAGCAAGCCAGCGTCAAAGAGAAACTCAAAACTCAGGACTGGAAGAATAGGAATGCAGCAGGCTCATGGAACAATCCAAGAGGATGAACCACAGAATAAGCCAGAAGGCATATTTGATCAGCAAATAATAACCAAAATACAGGGCTATGTCCAAGCTCAGGAAGAACTCAAGATGTTGCTCAAGTAAGGCTCAAATGGATCAGGAAGACTTCTTAGACTTCTCCATGCTCTAGATTATGCAAAGACTAGACTTGGTATACCATGAAATGTGTTTTCCCCAAGCTCCAATTATATCCTGTTGTGGTTCAAATGGCAGAGGCCTTTATCCTTAGCTGTTTATGCAGATAAAAAAGCAATTTCTTTGGCTCATGTACAGACACTCATGTACAGAGATGTCCTCATTCTCACATATATGTACTTCATACTTCAGACATCACCCTTTGGCACATTTACCAGGTCTTTACTGCTAACTCTAATTAGTTCATCTGTGTAACTGCACATGAATAGGCCCACATGAGCCTGCAAACTGGTTTGAAACTGTGAACAATTGTCCTACAGCACTGATTAACATCAACAGTATTGAAGTGTAGGCAATACTGGATCACAGATGACAATCATACAGAATCAACATTTTCTCTCTGGGCAGTTTACAACATTAAGTCACTCGTCCGGATTTCAACCAAGGCTGACCCTGCTGAGCTTCCAAGATTAGGCTGGATCAGGCACTTCAGGCTATTGGAAGCTATTGCAGCATTTTCATGAGGACTGAGTACATACGCTAAAGGAGCAAGAGACACATTCTTCTTGTGAAAGGAAGGCCTTGCAGAACCCTATGCAATAAACTGAAAGTTATGGGACTCTTGCTAAACACTGTATGGAGATTATGAAAGTGAAGATAAAATACTGTTATACTTGTTGCTCAATACAGAAACAATACCGATATGTAAAGCCAAGGAATGATTAAGTGGAAAAGACTGTAATGTCCTACTGGGCCTCTGAAAAAACAGCTCTACTATATTTGCCAAAAGTATTGTGGCTGTGAAACAAGCATTAGCAGCTGGTACACAAGCCAGTAACACTGCATGATAATCAAGTGATTGGATATTTAATGGCTACGTGAAATGCAAACAAACTTGGAGGAGGCAGAAACATCATTATCTACAAAAATATGATACAGAAGTAGTGCTGAGCTGCTGAAGTCTGAGTAAAAAAATAGATACTGGAACATTTATTTTGTAGAGCAGAAAGTGAGACTAATTGAGTTGATTAACATACATGGAAGAGTTTTCTCCCAGCAGCCTCTGAATTTTGAGTTTGCTTTACATACACCACATACTATCCAAACAGGAATATATCCTCCAATATAGGAAAAATCCAGTCTAATTACTCCAGCTCTATACCAACCACTTAAAGGAATGTAAAAGAAAATGCTAGAAGTTGGGATAATAAAAGAATATTATTGTTCATGGGCTTTACTGAGTGTATTGATGAAGAAGGAAGATGAAAGTTACATCTTTGCATTGTTTATAGGAAGGTAAATCTGCCATTCCCCTGGGATTCACATCCCTTGCCCTGAATTGAAGATTTCTTGGGGCACTGAAATCAGCCTGTTGATTTACTATAACAGATCTTGCTAGCATATACTGGCAAATTCCAATGCAGGGTGGATTTGTCAGAATGGGGTGGAGGGGAGGCAGTCCTTTATAATGAAGAGACTTTACAAATTTACAAGAATCACATCTGGTTTGTGTATTGGTTTTTAAATATTTCAATGGTTGATAGATCATAACTTGGACTCTGAGAATTTCAACACTGTTCTTTTATATCTAGAGAAACTAATTGTATATTCACAAACACATATGGAATATTTAAAACAGATACAGCATTTAGAAAGTTTACACAAAAAAG